ATTGTAACCCTTACTACCCTTTGTACATTGTAACCCTTACTACCCTCCCAGCCTTCCGTAAAGCTACTAAGTCCTGGCTGTTCCGACAGGCTGGGGGCTGTTGAAGTAGCCAGCCCCGCTTCAATTGTGAATGTTGTGCATTTTTAAATTTTTTGTATTGTCTTATTTATCCCCCTTTCCCTGTTTTATTGTGAGCCGCCCGGAGTCCTTCGGGAGTGGGTGGCATACAAAACTAATAAAACAAACAAACAAAACAAACAAACTGACCAAGGTAATGGTCAGTTAAGAGGGGCTTTGAGGCTGGGTCAAGAAAGTAGATCGAGTAAACAGCTGAGAGAGCCTCTCTGTCATTGATTCAAAGACAAAGTGAAAGGTAGAGCACATTCAACGTTTGCAAGATCCTGTTACAATATTTGTCGCGATAACAACTACAATAACCTATAGGGCAACCGTTTCTTTGCCTGGTCTACCTTGTTGGGCCGACGCCTAGTGCCATAGAAGCTGCCAGGAGTAATGTTGGATGTCAACATCAGCTTGGGCATTTCTTTTACTGCAATGTCTGGTTTTCGTATGAGTGTTGTGGTCAGCTGGCAGCAGAGTCGGACAGTGAGGAGGTCGGGGAGGAACATGGCATGGGCCAGCCCTGGAGTCTGAGGAAGGTTCGGATGAGGGCTCTGCATCGGAGGCAGAGAGGGCGGGAGGCAAGGCCATCTGGTAGTTATTTACTCTCTCCGGAGCCTCCGAAGTCTGACATCAGCGAGGCAGAAGAACAGTGGGAGCCTGTTCCCAGTGTGAGCAGAGCTACCAGAAGGCAAGGACGATTAAGAAAACAGGGTCGACCTGGGAGTGAGGCTTGGAGATGATTGGCCCTTCCCATAAGACATAAAAGAGGAGTGAACGGGATGTGAACTTTTGCAGGAAGCAATTAGTTCACCAGGGTGGTTCAAGTTTTGAAAAGTTCTGTTCGACTGTACCAGGTTTGGCCTTGCAAAAGTAATTGGCAATTAGTTCTCGGGCAGCATTTCAAGGGAGATAAGTTAAGTTAAGTTAAGTTTATTTATATGCTGCCCTTTTCCCCCGAAGGGGACTCAGGGCGGCTCACAACTCAACTAAGGGAGGGGGATACAGAC